AAGATCGTTAGAACAAATAACGAAATTCGCCGAATTTCGTTTGCATTACTTTTGCACAATACTGTAGGTGATGAGAATAGAGAAGAATATCAATCATGGGATTATTAGTTGATCCAATACCAAATTCTCTGAACTAACATTATAAGAATTGTATGGCAGATAGTAAGGAGAATTTATTATCAGATCTTGGGAGTGAAAGGGTTAAAGATAGTTAAGGCCATGGAAATTTCATAAGAGAATTCTCTGATTTCCAATGAGCAAGCCAACCAAAAAGTACTTTTGGAACTTTTTTTGAATCATTAAATATTGCATTTGTGTTACAAAAATTATAAAATATTTATTTTACAGATCGTACACCTCCACGACAAAAACATGAACCATTTCAGCCTCCCCTAGAAGATCCTCTATCACACGGTGAGAGGAACTGTCCAACTGATGTAGTTGTTGATGGCTTTTTTAGTAATGTGTCTTCTTTTTTCAATTTATTTTTGTTTAATTTATTTGTTCATTTACAGGTCATTCCAAACAAGTCCCAGTAGTTAAGCCATCTGCTGTTGTCCCTGATCCAGTCAAACCATCCAAGGTGAGATTTACTTCATAGCATGAAAGTTTTGGGGGTTTTAATTTTTTCTTTAAGTTTTGCATGTGATCCTTAATCAGCAAAATTGACTTCCAGCAAAAACAAAATCCAGAATACATGATGATGCAAATATTTACTACCATCAGTCAACTGAAAACAATTAGTTTAGAATAAAGAGTACCAGTAAATTCATTTTCATTGTATTTGAACCCAATTGAGATATCTGGGCAGCTCCCCTCTACAAAGTACCATTTTTAGAAAACTTAAAGATATTTTCACTTTCTTTCAGTTGCATTGTTTTCTTACTTAGTTTGAACATTGGAAAATTAGTTCCTTGAAGAAATTTTAGTCATCTTTAACCACAATAATTTACTGTGACTAAACACAAAAAAATGCAATTTGCAAGATAAAACTCACAGTCACATAATTTATATTACACACTTTACATTCATTTGCAATATGAAAACTTTCCCATTGCAAATGGTCAAATGCCTCCCATTGATGAGGCAGTGGCAAAGTACATGTAGTTTTGTTCTTTTGGCTGAACTCACAACAAAAGGTCCAATCTTTTTCCTTGTGTCTCCTTAAAAAGTTTGGATCTGGTCCTTTGTTTTTTAGCCCACTTCAGTAAATGAAAATCCACAGCACCAACAAATGATACCCTCAGAGAGAGACAAACCAGCTGGACTGCAATTGTCTGACTTTCTTCCAGTAAGTACTCAACAACTTTTGAATAGATTGTTGAATTTTTTATTTTAATGAAAGGTGATGGTTGAATTTGAAGTCATAAGTTAGGATGATAAGAGGAAGCTTAATTTTCTTGAATAACAGATTAGTTAAAACATCATTGGAGTTAATTTACAGATGTTACATAGAGCATTAGAAGTTTCAAATTCTATTTCAAGTTCTAGCTTCTGTCTGTTAGTGGGTAATTGATTTAAAATGGAAACTTAAGAAACTTTTCCATTTCTAGAACAAATGCTGACAACTCATTTTTTTCTTTTTACGTAAGAGGAAATATTATTCTACTAGTCATAATATCATAATATTTATTTGTATCTTGTTTTTAATGTTTTAGTCCAGAGCTCCTGCAGTTAATGACCCTTCACAAAACAATGGCAATTTTGATCAACATAAATTTCTGCCAAAGAATCCAGCCATGTCAGAGAAAGACGCCATCTCTGCACTGTCAAAAAGTGAGTTTAGGATATGAAATCATCATGAATGAATGATAATATTAGATTAGAAGATAGGCATAAGATATAGATCCTATGTGATGGCTCTGGAGAATTTATTTAACTGATATTTTCTGGTCTTAGTTACAATCATGGTGCTTCTTAGATATAAATGTTTTATTGAGGAAGAGCTCATCGAATGGGTAAATTAAATGTAAATTTGATGGATTGTTGTTTTCAGGTCATGACTCCATAGCAACAATTATGACAGCAAGACTCAAGAATCTGAGTGTTGTTGCGAGACACTGGGGGGATGGTGAAATAAAGGTTAGAGAGAAATGGTATTTAATAAGTTCTGAATTGAGTTGCTATCAATTTTGTTCAAATTGTTTACACCTTTTTGTTTAATGTTCTTTTTCAGACTGCGGTACAAGTTTCAGTAGATATGAATGATCAAGCTATCTTAGTGGACCTGCTCAATGTTCTCTGTTTAAAACAGTATGTTTACCTATCCACATATTACTTTCTTAACCCTTTCACTCCCACAAGTGACCAAGACAGAATTTCTCCTTACAATGTCAATACAATATCAAGCAGGCAGGTGATGAGAATAGAGAAGAATATCAATCATGGGATTATTAGTTGATCCAGTACCAAATTCTCTGAACTAACATCATAAGAATTGTATGACAGATAGTAAGGAGAATTACTAATTAGATCTTGGGAGTGAAAGGGTTAATTTTAACTTACTGTGCTGTCAAAGCTCTACAAGGTCAGGCTTTCACGATACAGGAGGAGGTCGATATAGTCAGACCTGTATTTAAGTGGTCATGGTTACATTTGAGTGAGTCCCACCAATCTGTTTGTTTTGTCCCCCACCTGAATTGAACAGTCACTTAAATCAGAACTGCTAAGAAAAAAAACTGAGAATGATCTTTCAAGTAAGATTTAATTCATGTTTCTCTCCTGAAATCAATGCTCGTAGTATTTTTAAGTGAGTGTTTTTACATTAGGTGGTCAGTTATGGCATTAAATCATTTTTTTTTTTATATACATTATCCCTCTTCTGTGGAACCTGTGTAAAGTGGTTAACCTGTATTAAGTGGTCACCTTGCCATTCCCTGTGGATGGCAGCTTAATACAGGTTTGACTGTAACAAACTTTTAATAAACAGTAACATCCATCGTCCAAAAAAAAAAAAAGTGAAATGTCTTTCTTGATTTCTCTTTACAAACTTTTAATAAACAGTAACATCCATTGTCTAAAAAAGAAAACAACCTGTGAAATGTCTTTCTTGATTTCTCTTTACAGGACATTATGGAATCTAGATGTTTGTTCATTGCTGCTTCCTCACCTCAAGGACCTGATAAGTAGCAAGTATGAAAGGTGAGAGAGTGTTTCATGTAGTGGATTAAAAGATTTTACAGCTGATGGTGTCAGGCTTGATGCCAGAAATCGTGTCAGTCCTTATTATGAGCACCATCATGAAAAAGTATTTTGTGTTGCCATCATTATCATCATCAACTCATTTAATCAATCTTGATCAATATATATTTGAATTTCTCTTACAGCTATGTCCAAGCTGGTGCAATGGCAATTAAACTTATTCTGCGAAACTTTGCTCCAGTTATTAAAAGCAACATGGCAGCACCACCGGTGTCTGTAGGAGTTGACCTAGTCAGAGAAGAAAGGTGAGGTTTAACCCTTAAACCCCAAAGAGTGACAAGGATCTAATTTCTCCTTATAGTATATCACCCTTGAATCAAACATTAAGGTCACAGGAATAAGGGAATTGATTGTTGAACTGATTCTCCTTGTCAGCACCTTAGGAAATGTACAGGGAACAGTATAGAGACTATGCATACTGATATTAGGGTGTACAGGGTTAAGTGTTTAAACAGAGCAATTTTCAGTTGAATTTTTCCTCCTTTCCCTACCTTTTCATGTAAAATGACCTTACAAATAGTCGTTTCATAATCACTATGACCAGTATTTTTTATTTTTTATTGTGTTGATTGTATTGTGTAGTCTTTCTTAAAACTTACAGATATTAAGAATGAATCTTATGTCTATGTATATGTGAGTCATGTTTAAATTCACGCAAATTTACCCCTATAGGTATAACAAGTGTCACAAGTGCTATTCACATTTGCAGTCCGTTCGTGAAGCTCTGTCTAGTAAAACCAACATTTCTGGAAAAATGGGAAGTCTCTTCCGTGAGATGTCGCTAGCATTTTCCAGCTTGGATTAATAGTAAGCAAGTAAGCTATTCTGGAGAAGATATGATGCACACAGGGATTACCATGACTTGTGGAATGTCCACTGCCGCAGTGTAAATTATTTTCATTAAAAAAAATGACAACAAGAGTCTGAGCTGCCTTTGTGTAAGCTAGGGGTGAATTATTTTGAAAAATGGCAGATCAGATTTCATACAAAGTAAAATGGAAGGACAAACATCAGTGAAAATCAGATTAAGAGGTACTGAGGGATATCTGATGTGACTCATGCGAGCTGGTAATACTGTAGAAAGATCTCACTGAGTTGGAACATTGCACTTGATTGTGCTTTTGAAGTCAGTATGTTAATTGGAGAAAAAGCAAACAAGTGAAAGTAACCTCATGTTTAAGAGACAAGAAAGAAATCATACCATCTAAAAGAGTTTTTGTAACTCAGGTGTAGAGTGATCAGCAAAGGTTACAGGTGTTTTTGATTGGTACAGTTTTATCATTATGATAGAAAATGGTGTGAGTTCAGATAAGATAAGAGGTTGGCTTATAAGATCACTTGATAACTTTCCAAGTACAGTTTTATCATAGAGAGTGGTGTGAGTTCAGATCAGAGGTTGGCTCCTAAGATCACTTGCCAATTCCACCATATCTTAAGTTGTGATGTTCTCAAACTCACCTGATCTACTGATTACCAAGCTAAGCAATGTCAGGGAGTTGCAATTATTTAAATGGAATTGGGGAGCTTGAGTATTATAATAATTTATTATGTTGTGTTTGAGCTTGGGGATAAGCCTTCTTTCCTTTCAATCAGCACTGGACAAAAGGCTTTCTCTCCAGCAGGTTGTAGTTTTCTACTTTTGTTTTGTTGTGAAAATTAACTGTTAATTTACTAGTAAGAATTATTTCAGTCTTATTGGTATTTAAGTTTAGATAAAGAGTACAAATATTACTTTTGAGGACATATTTACTTAAATTTTGTAAATGAAAACAAATCAGCACTTTTCAAAGTGAAAAGTCAGTATTGTGAATGGATGGTAAATAGAAACGTGTTCCACCATTCAAAGAAGCCCTTTTAAGAGGGAGGGGAGGGTGGTGAGACTCCCATCTCTCATATTCTCCTGTCCTCCCCAGGACTTTTGCTCCCTCAGCCACCTTTCATCTAAGGTCCATTTCTTCCAGACACGTCCACTCCCATATGGTTTAAAAATTAAACAACAAGATCAAAAAGCTCAACTATACAAAGGAAATTGTCAGTCCATTTCAGAGTCCAATGCTCTTTTCAGTCGTAAACTGACAGCATGCTACTCCTGGGTCAATCTTGCAAGTCAAAGCCTTTTCCCTTTTCAAGTCAACTGTTTAAATATCTCTCACCACAATGTTCACACATTTTATGCAAAATTAAAGTGGACATAAGTAATGATTCTTCTTGTGTCCTTGCATTATTGTTTGCTGAATATTGCTTACAAGTTAGTCTGTACATAATGGCTGTCCTTCAAATCGTACTTAGAATGTCAACTCAAGTATGTGTAGTGTGAATATGAACTTATATGCATGTGTTTGTAACTTGATTTCAAGTGACAAATGGTAACATTAAATAAAGTATGTTTATAGAAATCTCATGTGACTGTTCCTATTTTGATAGTTGAATCCAGTTTACACTGACATTTTTTTCTGCAAATGTGTTAAAGCTGTTTTGTTTTTGATTGTTTGGTTTTTTGTTTGTTTGTATTCATTTGCTGCGTTTATGAGATCTGCATGTGAAAACAAATTGAGAAGTTAACAATATTAGTTTTGTGAACAAGCAGGGAACAGACAAACGAGATTTTGCACTGAAAATTGAACTCATTAACATGTGTTATCTCTTTAAGATATCAATACCAAGCCCTTTAATAAAGAGCTTAAATTATTTCAATAATAGACCAACTCTTAAAACTGCTGTGTGATGATTTAACTTCAAATTCTGGTGACTTACATATATGGAAATGTGTTATGAATTGAAGGGAAAAATTTAGATTGCATTGGTTTTGTGACCAGTTGTGACTAAGTCACCCACTTTTCCTGAGCTTCAGGAAGATTACATGTCTTTTACCTTCAGCTGTCCTTAGCTCTTGGTGATATTTACCTTTCTTTCCACTGGCCATTTAGATGGCTTTTATTTTGGTTCTATGACACCCAACTAAAATATGCACTGTTCTCCCAAAGATCTGTTTTAATGGAAGATCTTCCCTGCCTTTCCATAAACATCAGTGTTCTCAAATGCTGCATTCTCTTCCCATTCAAGCCATCATCACCATGAAAGCATACTCAACAATACCCATTTAGTGTAATTTAACAGAGAACTCCCCTAACAGTTCTTTATTTCTGTTATAAAATTCTTTCCGGAGTTAAGAAAGCAACAGTGGATTACTTACAATCAGTGACAAAAGTTTTAACATGTATTATTTGTTTTCCTTCCTGGTTGGGTTGAGGTTGCCTTTTTTCCCCCCTTCCCCCCCTCCTCCATGCAATTTTGAGTTTTCTTTCTATTTAACCACACACTATTGAAGACTGATATTGTTTGAGGGAGAATGGGGCTTCTAATTATTGAATGAGAACTTCTTGAATCAAGGTACTTTGCCAAGGAATTTCCATCAGCATTCAAAGTGCTTTTTACCAATTAGTTTGGGAACTGTGCTTGAGAAATCAGGCTTGACTTCCCTGATAACTGCTGGATGCTATCTACACTGGAAAGTGCCATTCATTCTGGAAAAGAAGCTGTGTTTTAAACCAAACAAATAAAATCCCTCACACCTTCATCAAGAGATAAATTTTTATTCTTGGAATTGCATATATTGCTTAAACAGGTCAGTTGCACTGACATCGAACAAAATTTTTACAATAGCTTTTTCATGTAATTACTGATAGTGAGCTTAGTGATTTACGGTTCAGTTTTACATGGATTATGGTACTTTGACAAAAACAAAATAATGTCAAATGCGCTTGAATTTATTAATAATACTGCATATTTAAAAGCAGAGTAAATAATCACAGCCTTTACTCTTGAAGAAACTTTTTGCTCTTTAAAGGCTTTAAATAAATGTTAAATAAGCTAAATAAAATTTTTAATTCATATATTATAATTATTAAGGCTCTCTCTTCAGCTGCCAGACTAAAGGGAGAATGCATGTGAAGCCTGGGTTTCATGTCAGAATAATAACTGATTACTCAGAATAAATTTTTTTTCTGGCCATCGCAGATTTCTGCAGTGTATGAACTTCAAGATACAGGATGGAAAGATTGTGACAATCCTGGCACAAGAAAACAGGTGTATAAAAGATGTTCCTTCCATCCTTTGAGGATTGCTCTCAGTTCTTTGTTTATAACCCTTTCACTACCAAGATTTAAAAGAAATTCTCCTAAAGGATTACTATGCATTTCTTTGTTGGCTAGTTGTGAGAATTTCATGTTATATCCAAACAATTTCCTCTAGTTGGTAATTTTCTTAATTCTTGTCACTGGTCTCCTCAACAGTGTGCTAAAAACTTCAAGGACAAATCATATACTGATAACTCCTGTGAGTGAAAGGGTTCAAGGCCAAAAAGCTGGGGACAGTTGGGGAATGGTAAAACTTCATTTCATCTGAGACTTTGCCTGACATGAAAACCATGCTTAAACAATGAAGTTGCACCTTTTTAGCACAACACTTTTTTGTCTTGTCTGGCTTGATTGTAAGAGAAAACCCTCCTCTATTTGAATCTACAGTTTTATAATGAAATACAACAAAGCTGCAGAAATTTGTTAGTGTACACACTTTACAGTTGTACTATCCTAAGAAATTGTAATGATTTTAATAACAAGCTCTTCAGACTAGCTGGGGTATAATTTGAACAGAGGCTGTGATAGAAATGGTTTAGCCATGTGATTAATAATGAGATATACTGTATGAAAACATGCAGTAAATTTAAGACACTTTAGATAAGCTACTTGTAAGGTTCATGACACAAATACTGCTACAAGAAACCCAACAGAAAATTGCAATATTTAGGCTTGACTAAGAGCTGATAATGTTGTTTTAATAAAATAAAAGGATTATCTTGTAATATCCCACATTATCATGCTCAACATGAGTGTGTGATTGTGTTTGCTTCACTCTCACAAAGCAAAACTCAGAGGTTGTGGTATGAGAAGTCTAAGAGTGACTATATAATGATTCCTTTGGTAACAAGAACTAGATGCAGTAGAATAAAACATCCGTAGAACAGAAAAATTACTAGAGTTTCCAGCAATTACATTGTAGGATTTCTTTTTCTGATAGGAGCATCAATGACCACAGATGTGAGAAGATAAAAAAAGAGAACAGTTCTACTTTCTCATGTCTGCTAACATTGCTGAGTCTATTGCTTCCAAAACAAAACAAAAAAATCTTTACTACAGGTTACAGTGTTCCAATCTGTTTTTATCTATCAATAGGTTGATTGGCATTAGTAAATGAATCAATAAACATAACTTTGGTTGTGTTATCAACAATCAAATCCAACTTTCTGATCTTTTCATATAGTTCATGGTACCATTAAGGATCCTTGGAAAGTTTCGTTATGATAACAGAACTGAATAAGCTATATTTGACTATAAGAACAGCCCTACTTTGCTCTAGAATAGCTTGATCTCTTCCTGCAGGACTTGCCCTTTCATTATATCATAATATGTGTATCTATATATATTCATAATACTTTTACAGAGCCATCTGACCCTAATGTTTCTTGTTATTTTTGAGCCCCTGATGAAGAGTGACCTCTTAGTTTTGTCTAGAACATAGAAAAAGAGTACATCAAATTTCCAGTGTAACAAAAGGAAGTTTCACTGCTTAACCTGTCAATGATTGCAAATTGTATCAATCAAAGTGCAAATTCTCACCACTAGGCTTCAAACATTTTAACACATTCCAGGAGGGAGAATTTGCATAGCTAAAGTAGACAGTAGATCTTCTATATCTAGCACCTAATTTTTGTGGAGTGTGCCTCCAGAAATGTGGCCAGTGTTTGGGAAGTTTCATGAAACCTAGCGGCTTTTAGAGGCAATTTAAAATTGGAAGAAACATTCAGACATCAGTGCAAAGGAGTGAAAAATGTTCTCAAATTCTCATAGTGCATTTTTATCAACTCTTGAACTTCTGAGATCTGACTTGGTAAAATCTCCCTTTTGGCTAATGTACTTTTTATTGCAAATCAGTCCTGAGAATTTGGTGCTTCATCCAAGTGACACCCTCTGACTGATGAGTTTTTCACTTTTTGTCACCTTTGTTCTGTATAATATATTGATTTTGAAAGGAGAGGTTACTCAACAATCATTTCTTAGAAATTAAGGGATGACAATGCAAACTTTTCTTCAGCAGCCTTTAGTTCACTGTTAAAATGAAATGTACTTGTGGGTGCTTTATCATCATAATAGTTAACAGTCATGATAAACATGGCCTTCTATACAGAAGATCTCAGGCATGACAAGCTTAGGATTGTCTGCAGAGGAGGCTATGATGAACATGGTGATAACTTTTTTTCAATCAAACTAAAATATATTTAAAATTCAATAAGTAAAGAAACAAGAAGAGTACAAACCACTCATCGAGCATTTACCTATAGTTGATACGTTGATGGCTACTTGCCTCAGACTCTTTCCGTTGCTGCTCTTCCCTCCACTGTCTTTGCCTTTCTTCAAATTCAGCCACTCGTCTTTTGGCTTGTTCTAATGTCTCTTTCATTACTTTGTCTTCAGACTAATGTGGCATGGTACAAGGGAGAACAATGAGAGTTAAACAACTGGGCAAGACCTATGCTTTACTTTAGAGTGAGGATTCAGGAAAAATTTGTAGTTGAATCTTGAATGTCTCCTGATTTTCTGTTGGTTTTTAATGACTAACTTCTTTGATTAGTCTAGAAGACCCATGTCATTCTCTCAGCCAATAGGTTATAATGCATAAAACAATGCACAATTTGTCGCTTATAGTTTCATCTGCGTGGGATCCCAAACTACTTTATCTAACACATTTTTAATTATAAAATTTCGTACTCAAAAGGACTTTTTCTAATTTGAATGGCAATGGTTTACCATTGCAAGGAATTTGCAGAATGTTGAGTTTCAAACCAACTTAAGTGGCACGTTAGATATACTGGTATTGCCCTGCAGATCAGGATACAAAACTATGAAGTAAATAAAATTTTCAGGAATTTGTTAGATAATATGTCAAATCATCAAATACAATACCCCACTAACAGCCTTTTGCAATCATTATATATAGCCCTGCGGATCAGGTAATAGACTACAAAATCAATCACATTTTCAGGAAATTGTTGGATAATTTGTGAAATCATTGAATACAGCCCCCCACTAATCAGCCTTTTGCAATCCTTATATATTGCGATGCAGATCAGGATATAGACCACACAGTAAATGACATTTTCAGGAATTTGTTGGATAATTTGTCAAATCATCAAATACAATACCCCACTAACAGCCTCTCGCAATCCTTTTATGTTATCTGGCCAATCAAAATAAAGACAACAAAGTAAATGACATTTTCAGGAATTTGTTGGATAATTTGTTGGATAATTTGTCAAATCATTGAATACAATACCCCACTGACAGCCTTTCGCAATCCTTATATATTGCCCTATAGAACAGGATATAGACCACACAGTAAATGACATTTTCAGGAGTTTGTTGGATAATTTGTCGCATCATCAGTAACAGCTTTTCAAAATCACATTAGCTCCTCATCTTCTTAAGGAAGACAGCTTGACTTGGAAGTGATGGTAATGAAAGAATTCTCTGACAATGGAAAAAAAAATGTGCTGTAGCTGGAATGAGGGGTCTGTTATTATTCTCATCACCCCTAAATTTTAATATCAATTCTTCACACTGTTTGCTATATATTTTTTTATAGTTTTAACACTAAAAATTTGCTTTTGAGAAAAGTAATAAGCCACAACAGATTTCCCTCTTTCTTCAAATCACCTTTTCACTTGAAATTATATCAATATATTAATTAAAATCTCCTTTAAGGTTACCACAGAGAGTGAAAAGGTTATACAATTTGCTCTTTTGAAGTGCCATGCAATTTGCATTTTTACCCTTAGTCAACAGATCATATGTGGCCTCTTCAAAAAGTGAAGTGGGGAGGTGGTTTTCAATTTTTTGCATTTCAATTAAAACCCCAAGAGTCCAAAATGTAGAAATGTGGAATGAATTGTGTAATAGCTGCTATTAGCAGAGCTTTTTTCAAAGGTAATTGTTTTGTTGTGGGCATGAAAGAAATGATTTATCATTTCTTCAAACAAAAACATTATTGATTCTTTTCAACTAATCAGACTACTCATGAATAAGAGCCATAATTAGCTTGTGTTATCTGTGTCATCTCTCTCTCAAAAGGAGGTGTATAATTTGTGGGTCTATTTTTAGTGACCTCTTTTCCTGTTTATCGGCCCTTTTGGTCTCCGCATGTGACTTTAGTAAAGACACGCAATGTGATATTTGTGAGAAAGTAACCTTACCAGTATTATGACTGAGATCTTACATCATTTTGAAACCATAAAATCGTTTACTTATTAGGAAGGCTCTAAATGACTTTGTAATAAATTGTTGAAAATAACACAATAAGGCAAACACCTGTGTATACAAAGTATTTTACCACATTTTGTTGGAGTACTCCAGGGAACCTTGCAATATTACACTAATTACAGTTAAAAAATAAATAAAAAACCAGAAACATTTGAAAACCAACAAAGCACTTGTCATGAATCTCTTCAACAAGTATCAGTATGAAGTTTCTCCCAACATATTACCAGAAACTGATTTACAAGTGTAATGAGAATTCATGAATAAATCTGGCAACACGCTACTGCATTAATGTGGAATGTCTACTGGTGGGAAAGGAGAATTCGTTTGTTAATATAGGTATTAAAACTTACTTTAGCTTTATCTTCGTCAAATTCCAAATATCCAGCTCCGTCAAGTCTCTGCAAGTCTATCCAGCCTTTCCAAACGACACATACACCATTCATTATAAAACGGCTTTTGATGAAGACCTATCGAGATTGATAGGGAGCATTTATGTGATAACGGAAATTTAACTGATTTACTATGTCACTGATTTAACGGTTAAGTAGTCACAAATTTTTATAGTATATTGTAAATTAGAGCACGTTTTCTGTAAAAATTCTTTCTCCAACACTAAAGAGATTTTCACACCTGTGGTTAATGATTAAGTGACAAAATCGCGCTCCACGAGATGCTGTCAACCATATGGAATTTCGTTATCTCGCGAATGCGATGTGGAATTTCTGTTATACTCGTCGTTTCAGCCGTGTCATTACTTTGATTAAAATGTCTGGCATAATTAAATAAGTGCTTGCACACGCAAACTTGTATTTGGCATTGTTACCAATAACTTTCGATCAAGAGAAGGACAAAGTATTCTTGCGAGTTTCTGGTGAAGTTAGGGAGATCATTGATAGACAAAAGCTTTTGCTTGTAATTTGTTTCAGAATATTTTCACTCACTAGAATAATTGCACTTGTGACAGAACTAAACAAGAAAACAATCGGGTTATTATTGCGTCCTATTCAGGAAGAAATCAAATACTTTTACGCCAAATCACACTGAGTGATACACCTGTTTTTAAATTAATTGAAGTCGGAATTTCACACCGCGTTCAACTCAACATGCCGCACTACAAAGAATATTGTTCATGAACAATCTTCTAAAGCGAGCAGCGATCATGCGAACTCGCCGATCCGATCATGAAAAACACTCGGTATTCCGCCTTCATTATTCAAAATATTTTGAAACTTGATATTGTTTAGCTGACAAATTTTCAATTTAGTATGTAGACACAAGTACCTCCAATAGATTTCCTATATTCTACCGCCATAAATCTGTTGTTGTTTGAGATAAAGTTACACTTAGTGGCTAAGGAAGGCCTCGGGGAAATCACGAATGAGTTGAACTTTTCCGACACGAAATATTTAATCGTCTTTAAAGCTACGGAAATAAACAATTTACAAAAGAAAAGTAACTCCTGTAATTCAGTATAATTACCCTGAAAAATAAACTGCCATGATATTAAATATTCTCTCCTTACGTCCGCTTGTCGTTTGCGATCATTCTAGTTATTGATTCACGCAATCGCGCAATTAATTGCCTCGCTTCGAGCTTTAATCTACCTCTGCAAAATAATTCGAATTACAGTCAAAACGATTATTGTGCGGAAAGCCCACGAGAAAAGCCGACCGAAGCAAGTCATCTCGAATAAGAAAGCCATTCAAATGCTGAAATGTTACAGATTGTAAATAATTAATTTGTCAGCACGTGCAATTATCTAGGGTTGCCGACAACCTCCACTTCCCACCTTAATACCTCGGTAAATCTTTTATAAGATTGCTGTTCGATCTCCTCAAGGACTTGCTTCCTAGGCGATCGGAAATTCCGTTTGCCGAAATACGCGTTTGCTGCGATTGTACGTAAAAGCGGAGTTATTTTCAAATGCATAATTAAGTCACAACCTGCTGCAAGTAGCTTTAATAGCCAGATGTTTATACACAAATAAAACTTTCAAAAAGAAATCAAGTCAGTCGCCTACCGATACAATGGCGCAATTTATTTTTCGTAAAAGGCGTAACTTTCCGACGTTATTTGGCCAGCCCACTCGAAAGGGTTGTGAAAATAATCTGGCGCAATTCCAACCTTGCTGTTAAATTTGACGCTAAAATCGAGCCGAGAGGAAAATCCAAGAAAACATTTAGATTCCACAACATGACGGCGATTATATAACATTAAGTTCTAGTTACGAGATTTTCAGTGCAATTATTAGCTCGTTTTCAAATATTCCTCTTTAAAGCGAAACCTGAAATCATGTTCACTTTCGTTTACCTTTCCTGGTTCCCGATCAAAGTCAAGAAAATCCTTCGGAACTGTTCCATCCTCTCCTTTTGGAAACTGTAGTGTGAAATTCGTCCCAGACGACACGAAAGCCTACATCGTTTAAAAAAATTATTCAAGGGTAATGATTTAATAACACAGAACACAAGAACTCCCTCACGCAAAGAGGGACTGTGATGATCTTTACGAAAGTTTTCGTCAACTTCATCAAGAGTAGTTTTTTTGACAGGCTTACCACGGTGGCATGTCCATCGCGAGCTTCTGTTTGAAATCGGACGATGCGTTCCTCGTGCGATCTGTCTCTATAACCGGTATATTTTATCTGAAAATAGATAGAATCGATTTAATGGCATCGTGCTGCAGTGTCCATGTGAGTTTACAACTTTGTCATATACGTCGAATTGTCAAATCACCTCCGTCTCCCGTGACATCTTCCGAAATAAGTCGTCATTTTCGAACTTTTGCCTTTGCTCTGGCACTACCCGTGGCATTTTGTCCAGTGACGGGTACGTTATCTGCGGTCTTCGTAACTTTCGAGTCTTGCCGCGCAAATCGAGTGAACTCAGTCAATGCGTGTCCGATTTTCTCGAAATTTCATACCTCTCATGACGGAACTTCCGTTTCGCAGCGCTGAAAACAAACCTCTGCTCAACAAAGAAAGAAACATGACAAGTTATTGTCAACACAATGCACGTTGAAGTAACTCAGCTCCAACGGTGATTGGCTGAAATGGACGCTACAACAATTCTGGCACGCGTAGCCATTCGCCTGTAACTAATTGATCCATATTTGGGAACCCCTGTCATACCGAAAAACAACTGCCCTGAAACAGTGAACTCACCTGGCGTCATCCAAAGCTTGCTTCCTTTCGTTTTAATTTCGTGCTTTACGGTATCAAAAGCTCATTTATCTAATGAAGTGTTAAAAAACTATAACTACTGCGGGTTTATGCTTCATAAATTTGTTTGAAGCATTCAAACTTGAGTAAAACTTTAATAGGTGAGGCTGTTATTTTTTTTCCGGACGTTACCGGAAGTGGATGTAGACTGAACGTCGTTTCCGGTTTTTTTGAGATGCAGCGATTCAAAGGGTTTGAATTGCTTTAAGTTTTTATTTTGCTTAAGTCATTCATCTCAGCTGGGGTAAAAAATCCTATTGCTGGAACAGAGTGCTGAAAATATTCAATTTTCTACGTTCGATTGGTCGTACGTGATCGTTATGTGACCCCGTGGTATTATTCATCTGACATTTTTGTCGATGCGTAACGCTTTCTCGTAGGAATATACTTTGTGACGCGGCGAGCGGCCGCCTTTAATTCTGAGGAATTTGGGATGTTATTCTCTCGGAGACGGAAGCTACCAAGGGGGCGAAAATTAGTGTGCTGCACTCTTTTAGTTATAGTGATCTTCATTTTTTATCAGATTGTCACTTCTTTCAACGACGAAGATGTGGAGTTTGACAGGCAGTGGACCTGTGAAGAACTTAAAGCGAAAGATCGCTTGGTAAAGCTGGTAAGTATCTTAAGAGCTGCTTTTCAAAGGGAAGTGGTTACAAATATCGTAAATTTAATTACGTTAATGATCGACAACAGGAATGTAGCGTGGTTTCTAAGATAAGTTAATCTAGCATCAATCAAAATCGGTTAGTGGGATAGTGTATTTCATTAAAAACATTCTGGATGAAAATGAGTAATTAAAATCAATGCGGAAGTCAATGTTCACATGATACATTCAAAACTCATCGTTAAACGTTATATCGTCTCTTTCTTTCGTCGCTCAGCAATTATAAATTAATTGGATAGAAGTATTTTATGTATACATATTTTCTCGAATTACTCCGTTATAATGAAATCCGCGATTCTTTTACGCTAGGACGTGGTTATTAAGCCGTTAATTATCTGCTGTCTTCGTGAATCTTATTTCAGCAATCCACCCTTCCTTTTCCGAACTGTTTTTGCAAATAATCTCCTAACTCTTCTAATGTCCTCTGTCTTTGCAGTCTGATTTATTGTACCTTACCTATTCTAGAATTTTCGGTACCTCCTCTCCATAATTCTGGAGTCTCCCTGGCCTAAAGAAAACATCTACCTGCCCTTTAAGGCCCAGAGAGGTTGATAAAATACTTGCAATAATGTTTTCAAGAAAATGAAGATTTATGTCCAATTCAGTCAACTTATTTTTTTCCCTTTTCAAGTGCAAAGATTTTACCAATGGTAACACTGGGGGAAATCTCTGTCGTGACTTGTGCACAAGTGGTGAACTAGTCATCCAAGACTGTCTAGCACATAAAAACACCACCATTGTATTTTCTGGCACATGGAGAAAAAATGATATTGTGTTCAAGACAAAGAGACGTCCTCATCATGTTGAAAACCTTGAGGATGTACTGTCTATTGGAGTAAGTGGTAAGTCTATTTAATGAATTTCTGACCTAGTCTGTTAAATTTTAGAGACAATTAAATAGTCTAAAAAGTCCAAATAACTTTTCCAGTTGACTTGAAAGGAAAAAAAAATTATCTGTTTTGAAGCAAAACAAAAAAATTTTGATAAGTAATTTCTAATTTCATTATTGAGGGCCTCACTAATCCTCATTTACATACCAAAATTTATAATAGTGTGCATGGCTATCTGTAGTGGACCAGAAACCCAACCAGGAGGACTTAACTAAGCATTAACACTCCAAGTGGCATCATCCTGATCAAGACAGAAAAAGGCCCATGGAAATAGTTTTTTGGCTGTCAGAAAGAATTAGTAATAGTTTTCATGTAAAACAGTTCAAGTATTATTTAAAACCCAAAAAGGGTTCTGTATGCACTTTCACACTGAATATAGGACCATCTGAGTCTGCCAAGTACGCCATTGTAATAACAGAGTACCTTTTTACTTCCTTTTCCTCAGTTCCATCCCATTCTCTTCCCAAACCTCACTCTGATACTAGCACAATCATGCCCTTAGCCTAGTTACTAAGGGAATGCCTGGAACAGGTTACCTCCACCTTCAATCCCCCACCCCTCCCCAATCCATTTTCTCTGCCAGTGATTTTGTGAATTCCAAATTTGAAGTTGAAGTGAGCGTTTGTTTGTCAATCAACAGATGATGAACCTACTGCTGGAGATGAACAAGTGTACAAAAAATTTGTATTTCATGTGTTTGATCATGTACAGAATGAATTATCCTTTTTTAGACTGAAAGACATGATTGGGTCAGAACAACAGGTGCTTGAACTTCTTTGGCATCCACATCCATTAGGAGAGCTTACCTGGGCAGATATGTCAAGTTTGTGGCGGTTAATTCAAAGAGATGAATTCATCAAGTTACAACTATTAAAAGAGATGAAGCACATTCCAAGAGTGTATGGATTCTGTGGCAGCTTTTATGCTGTAGAGAAGGTGGAAACTATAGAAGGATTTTCATTCACCCCATTTAAAAGGCCAATGCCCTGGAAAAAACGATTAAATGCTGCTCTGGACTTGCTAGATCTTTCTAAAGAATTTACAGAGACACCTTTGGGACAACTACATCACTGCGACATACAACCTGGTAATTTTGGTGTTGCCAAAGACAAGAGAGTTGTAGCCCTCGATATTGACTCTATGTTTGGAACAAAACAAATGGAGGATTTCCTGGAACAACCAACTTGTGAAAGTGATGCGCAATGTGACTTTTTTGACTGCGTGTCTGCTTGTAATACAACAGAAAATAAATGCTCAAGAAAAATTCTCACCAATAACCTACAGGTAAGATTTAGCAAACGTGGGTTATAGTGTACTTTATTCTTAATGAATAATGCTTGGTAGAGTAGTGTGGAATTGATGATCTGATCAAGGGGCTTGGCAATTAAGTTTTCAATGGGCTGTAACATTACTTCCTCAAACACCAACAAGACCAAGAAACTTTAGAATGAACTCAACCATTGTAGAGGAAAAGCCAAATGCACATAAATACATGTGTTAATTACTACTAAATTAATGGTTTTCAGTAAAGAGGTTCCAGAAACCATCAAGCTTGGTTTGTGAACTTTTATTTTAAATGAAATTTCAATTACTAGGGCTCTTTAAATTCATTTTTGTTATTGTGTTAAAATGCTACTAGAGGATAGCATGCACAGATAAATATTGCATTAAATTTACTCAAGGTTATATTCACCTGCATGATGCACATTAAATATTATGTATTTCCACTTAAACAAAATTTAATAAATTGCAGATCATCTGTCGGGACATTTTGCTGTCTTATTGGGGGCAGCCTGGATTACTGCAGAGAGCTCCCATCCATGCTCAGAACAAACTCTCACCTGTGTTGTCAGACTGTGCGTCAGACAAAATGTTACCATGGAAGCCAGGAAAAATAGAAAAAATATATAGGAAGCTCAAGACAATTCTCTCAGAGGAACTTGTGTCCAACTAGGATTGGACTGGGACTTCTGTTTTTGTATTTGAATAAACACATAAATTTTCTATTTAGCGAGGCCAAGAGTTCGGACTTAGGTTGAAGAATTACAATTAGGTTTATTTAGTCCGTATATATGTTGGAGTATTTATAAAAGAACAATATAGAATGAGCATCTAGGTGCTGTTAAAAATATATATATATATATTTACTTGTATATATATATATATATGTTAAAACTATATATATATATTTACTTGTATATATATATATATATATGTTAAAACTATATATATATATTTACTTGTTTAAAAAAAAATCTAGTCCATATTTAAAATATAATTTACATTCTGTAAATAATAATTTTTTGAAAACATTTTTTAGTGCCTTGTCAACTGTCTTTGGCTGCTGGTTTACTTTTTTTGCAGTATATCTGTAAACAAGCTCAGAAGTAGCTATAAATGTATGTTAAAGTATATCTCACGTTATCTTTGTGTCATGTTTGGGAAGCAGTAGTCCATTTTAAATGGACACCATGCCAAACTTGTCCTAAAGATTTCTGTTTGTTTTTTTATGGCTTCTCAAGCTCAATGCACTTGGTCATGTAGTCTGATTGTCCAAGTGGGAGTAGTCCTGGAGAGGACTGTTGCATTTCAATAACCTTATCAGAGGTTATCATGAGAGGCAACTTGAATCATGGAAATTGCCATTGTCACTTCATTATCAAATATTTCTCCCAAGTTCAAACAGTTAACTGTAAAAGGTCTCTCAGTTTTAATTTACTTGAATGTACTGGTAAATGGCAAAGGAAAAGGAAAAAAGTGAAGAATATTTCAAACTCAGAGAACCACACAGTTAATAGACCACCATACAACTAGTGTTGCTTTTAATGATGGAAGAGAAAGTTCTTTAAGATAAAAACATGTTTAACAAATTTATAAGTCAATCATTGGGCCATTGGATATGACCTGATAAAAGAGAAAGCCAAGTACACATTAAGATTAAAAGACTCTAAAAATAAATATTACGATAACCTTTTCCTAAAGAACAAATTACAACAAAATAACAGTTAACACTGATGATAATTCCATAATTAAAAAGAGGTAATTTCCTAACTTTGTCTCACACTGTATGGTACTGAAACTAAATTTCAAAGGCAATTGAATGTTTCAAGAATGAAAGACTGCATATTGAATTTTTGAGCATTTATAACAAAAAATTTCTTTCAATAATTGTTGTTGTCAGTAAATTATTTTAAAATTGCAGCCCACCATACATTTGTATAAATAGCAGGAAAAATTGTCAGCACCTCTTATAACATCAACAATTGGCTTATGGTAGTACTGGTAACTTTCCTATGGGAAAGAGGATGGTAAACAATTTGACTCAACCAACATATCACTCATCAGTTGACTGTAGGCCAATTGTTAGTGGTGACATGTTGGAGTTACATCTGTGGCAAGTAGGTAGCTTACTGGAGGAAAATTTTTAACAAAATGTTTTCAATATCTTTTCAGTGTGGGTTCGATCAAACTTGTGCCCAATGTCCACCAATGAAGATGTAGTCCATTAGTGAAATATTGTTCAGAGGAATATAACACCAGCTCAGTTGAAAATACTGTAATGCTGACCAGATAACAACTGAACTTTGAAAAAGTTTCATAAAAAATGCCCCAAAATTGAGCGATGGTTAGCATTGTGTCCTCTTCCTGAGAGATTCATTAGGTGACAACATCTTGTAAAAAAAACGAGCACTTTGTGTTACTGAATTTCTTTTGTAATGAGTTTGTTTATCACATTGTTCACATCAGCAGTCTTGTTGATCTTGATATAGGCACATTTCCTAACTGTGAGAAGTGAGATCCATTCTGGTACAAGCTGGGACATGAATCTGATGTGTTCTTCAACTTGCACTAAATGAAAAATGACAGAGAGCTTGTCAAGAACAAATATAGACTACTATAATACTGAAGAAATGGTTTAAATCACTATCACCAACAAATGCCCTATTCTGGGCCACATATCCTTGACTTCATCAGATCTTTCAATCAAATCCAGAAAATAAAAAAAAATTTAATTAAATGATGCAGTTCTCAGAATACCTGAAGACAGAGATGTCTTGTAGCTGTCTGACAGTTTCACTGTTGCATCCTCCAGGGGTATAGCAGCTTTGCGCTCAGCAGAGAAATAACTAATGATAGTTAAGGGTATATTTAATTGTTTGTTTGCATAAGGCAAAACTAAACAACAATGATAACAAAGCCTTGGAAAGTGATACACAGATTCCCCCAAACAATAGTTGGGCTAGCAACCCTAGGATCAAGGGTGATTTCTGTGAGCCAACTCTGGTCAAAAAGTCATTAATGCCCTACTTTTCCAGAGGAAAAAAGTAGCTGTTGTTTGAAAAAAAAAAATGTCACTTCTCTGATTAAAAAGCAAGGATACGCTTTGAGTATTCTGCATAGTTCAGGAAGGCGTTCCTTCATGGCAAGCTTCTTGTCAACTAAGGGATCTCGCATCAGACTTTCTTCTATTTTCTTTGCCTCTTTCTGCCTAATCTTTGAATAAGATATCAAAACAAAAGATAAAACACAGAAACCAGGATTCAAATCAAATAAAAAAAATTGATCAAGTACGAGCTCATTCACTAGTAGGGACTAAAAAATACTATAAATATTATTAAAATTCATTTACAGTTAAGATGTTTCAATGTTCTTATTGATATGACAGTTTGACAGGGCCACTTACCACTGATCTTGAACAACAAGAAAGGTTGATTTACATTTAGTTTTCAGTTGTTAACATACCTGTTTGTATATGCTGTAGGGCTGGACATTTTCCCTCTATTATGAGGAGGCTTTCATTTTAGGATTTCATTTTGAGTGCACTTATTAATATCAATCTTACTTAACATGCAAAGACTTCTGTAAATACCTTGTTCAGTAGATCTTGTGAGATTCCCTTCAAGGCAGCTTTATTCTTTAAATTATTTTTGCTTTGCATCTCTTCTGTAGACTTTGTCACCTCTTTCTTTTCTGGCAAGTTTTTGTTCTTGTTTGCTGATGTCAACTCCTCTCCCTCTTGTTCTTTCAAAGCAACTGCCTTCAGTGCTTTCTCAACCTACAGGAAAGAAAACTTAACCTTTTAACTCCCAAGATCTCATTAGTAATTCTCCTTACTGTCTGCCATATAATTCTTAAGATGTCAATTTGGGGAATTTGGTATTGCTTGAAGGAAAGCACTGGTCCTACCAAGCCAATTAAACAACATTTCTCTTCTACTTACTGTAACCCTTACACCCTAATACAAGTATCAGTGTTTCGTTTAATAAATAGGCGTTGCCTCGTGTTGACAGATTTATTTGATGACAAAAATTAATTCAATAGATTGATTTAAAAGCGTTAGATTATTATGTTTTAAGTCAGTTTTTCAGCAGAATCGAAGTGAGAAAGAAGTTATTTTGTTATCGTTTTTCTGTCTCTAAACCCGCTTAGCTAGAGAATCTGCTAACCCGTATAGTGAGACTGTTGTAACGACCTGCCACAGAAGTAAGTTTATACTGAAGTTTTGAATTTAGTTACAAGATAAAGACTTGATTTGCGTTTGTTCTAATTGCGAATTATAAATGTATTTCTTTTAGATCGAATAATTATTAAAGCTTGGCTTAATATTATACGGTTTGTGGTGGTCATTTGATCTAACCAGTTCCGAGTAAGGAAACAATCAGTATGCACATTTTATTTTATATTGTTCTTGCTACATTTCCTAAGGTGCTGACAGGGACAATTCCTTTAACAAACAAAAGCTTCTTTATTTGAAGATCATTTCCTTTATTCTCATGACCTTCATGTTTGATTCAGGGGTGATATTGTAGGGAGAAATAAGATGCCAGTCATTCCTAGATGTCATGTCAAATAATTAATTCTTTAGAAGCTGAATGGTTGTCAAAAAGACAAAAACTGTAATGTTATGACATACCCTTGGTGCTATCATGTCACGTGCTTTTTCCAAGACGTCATTGGCGCTACTGTAGGTCTTTACCACCGGAGGCTGTGGGAGCTTGCCTTCCTCTACATCTGGCACTTCATCAAGGTGAAACTTTGGATGCCAGCGCATGATTTTGTTATCATCAACTGACAAAGATGGGCTGAGGTTGGAGAGGAAATCCTTTAAACAAAGAATGTTTGTAACAAAGTTAACAAATTATGAAGATGACAGTGATCTTTTCAGTAATGAACACTAATTAAACAGAAGTGAATGTAAGGCCTCAAAAAAATTCAGGCCTGTATGGGAGTTGAACCCATGACCACTGCAATACTGGTGCAGTGCTCTGTACCAACTGAGCTAACAGGCTAACAATGTGCTGGTCATTTTGTTGGTTTGTAATAAACTTGTGAGGTAATAAATGAATAACTGTGTATATAGGAATATAATGTGTTTTAACCACAGTTCAAATACATTATATATAATGTTCATATAATCAGTCATTCAAAAGTTGACAATATTGTTGGTTGACCACAACATCAAAATGAAAATGGAAAAAAAGATTTGTGTACATTACAGCCGTTTCAATGACAACCTGGTTACCAGTCTATCACTGTCTGTAATACCTCTCTGAATTACCTGTTTAGCCTGCAAGCAGGCTTTTTTGTTTGGCACAGCTGCCTATCACACCAATGATAACTGTTTGTCAAAAAAGTTACTGAAACCACCAACATTATGGGTTCTTGGATAATAACACACACTATGAAGTACTATACAACTAACTAGGTAACCTATACAACAGTTTTCCTCAAAAAGTACTGTCTGCATGTGAGTAAAAACACAGTTAATTTGTTTCTAGAGAAAGACATTCTTCTTTGTGGTCTTTGGACTGATATATAGCTTACATCACCAGACACTTAACAACCTAAGAAGACCACTGTATAACAGGGGTAATTTAGTATTATCAACTAAGTTGATAATGTAAATTGGCCACCGTAAAAGAGATTAAAAGCTGATGTTTGGAGTGTTAGCCCTTCATCAGAGTGATTGCACTCGGTATTGTAAACTTAGTTGATAATACCAAATTTAATACCCCTTTATACTTTCCCACCAATGTAGCACCACAATTTCTTTCGAAACATTAGAAGACAACTACAGACTAGTAACAAACTCCATTGTTGTGTAAGATAAAATTTCCAGACAAATGCTCGCATAAAAATACCTGATGATGCCTCTTAGTTGTCTGTAGCAGATTCTTCTGGAAGGTATCCCTTCTTGCCAACAGCTCAGTGGCTGTCAGTGTAAGTTTGCTGAGTGCTTCCTCAGTTTTTCCAAACTCAATAATCAACTCAAATGATGAAGACTTGCCCAGACATTTGTCTTGATGGAATTCAAGGGCTCCTGGATAAACTGTTTTCATTTGTGCCAGATGCTTCTTCTCAAATCGCCTGCAAAAAATCCAAATTAAGCAACAACATCAGCAAATGTTTTTTATTTCAGGGTTACTTTAAAGCTTATCACATGATGACCTGACCACCAAGGTTCTTACTTTCTTGACATCTGCTGCACTGCATCCCGGAGTTTAGTAAATGTACACTTCTCCTTTCGCTGTCCCAGCAAATTCAGGATGGTGTCAGTACAGCGGAACATCTCAGCCAGCACCTTGTACTTATAGGGGAGGGGTAGAGTTGTAGAAGAAGCCTCTGATGGAGTAGGCTGAGCCAAGGCATGGAACCTTTGATAGGCTGGAGCATCTTTCAAACTATAAATTAATAATTATTAAAAAAATTTGTCCGATGAAAACAGATACTTAGTTGACATTCCACAATACAGCCATGTATGTGAGAAATAAAAGGAACAAAGTTAGGCTGCCCTCAGGTGAGGCCCCCTCCCTAAAAAAAGGGACCATCCAAGAGTAGCAACAAGAAAATGAAATTGTGGTCATACAGATGAGGTGACCTAATGGCCAAAGCGTGGTCATACAGCACTGCTCTACTGCATGCAGAAGAAGTATTAAAGGTCCCAAACAAATATCCCTTAAAAGTGAATCCATTTTCCCAATAAGAAATTCTAAGGACCCAACTAGCCAGACAGAGCAGGTATTTGGCCACTTGAGCAATGATACATTGGACTCTCTCGTCAGACAATTGGCGATAAAGGATAGACTGCAGAATCATGGCCAAAGTCTGTGGTCCCTTTCACATGTTGATTGGTTCAAGAAAGGTCTTACCTTGTTGAAAAACCATAACTATTGATAGATTTTCTCTTTTTATGATTATTACTACCAAGTTTTCATGGCTTAACATAACATTTTCACATACCTCTGTGATTTTTCTGTATCATTGTTCTTTTTAGCCATCTGATGAAGCCTCAATCCTTTATCTTCAGTACAAGACAGTGATGATTTGGGAACACTTTTCTCCAATGATCTCATGCTCCTAATCAGTTTTCTTGCCTTGGCTAGATCCTCTTGAGCCTTCTTCATTGAGACTTTGGAGTTTTCCACTGAAAGAAAAGTAAATATATATGTAAAAAAGTTTATTCCACCTGTGAACTGAATTTTAC